CTCACCTGCAAACAGGCGTCGGGCAACAATCGCGAATGCGGCGCACTTGTGACAATAAGCAAAGGTCATTATAGTGTTACGACCATACGACGTACGGGAATGAGTTATCAGCTGTCTAATCGTAGACAACACAATGTCGAGCCTTAAACTGTAAGCCTGTATTGGTATTGTTTCTTAAATTTGGCTGTCGAACATTAATTTGTGGTTTGAAATATGATTTTATGTAAAATAATTGATATGAAACAGCCGTCTCTTAAGTTATGACCCCATTACACCACACGCAAGTGGCAGAAATGACAATGATCAGCTGACGCATTTTTCTTGGCCGAAGTCAGAGCGCGCGGCCCGACGCACCACGCGTATTTGGAAATTCCGACCTCGACGAGCATCAGAAGCCACCTAACAGGCGTGTTCGAAACCGCAGGAGATGATGATGAACGGGTTTATCGAAACTTGATTGGATGAGCCTATCGGTAATAGCGATTTTAGTGTGTGCATTTATTGTTCATAGTAGTGTGAAATGTGGTTGGGGTACGACCGACAACCCGTCGGGGCGAATTTCGCACTGGGGTACTCAAAATTTGAAGAATTTAAGACGTTTCCATAAGTTTTGAAGGTATGGATAAGTTCTAAAAATCCGGTTCTCCTTATCCGGGTCATTAACTCCATATGGTCCAAGAAAGCTGGCACACTACCTTTAATCTAAGGAAAGACTACGCTCGCTTCGCTCGCTCCGTAATAAACATTTCTCAGACGTGCCACTTTCCTGATCATCTGCTGACTATCCATACTCGTAGGTCACCGCTCACTCGTCTGACTCAGTGCCGCCGCCCGGCCCTTTCGATCCGCCTGTGATCCGCAGTGCTCGCAGCTCGTTTCCGGCCTATTTCAGCGGCCGGTGCCCATTGGAGGCGCTCGATGGGTGACGCTGTCTGGCCGTCTAATTGGACTACTGGTCAGGTCCAGCGCTAGCCTAACTAACGAGCAGCCGCGATCCACCGAGCCCATTGTATGGGACGGTGAGTTACTGCGGCGACAAAAGGGCCGGCCACTGCCGGACGTGCTATGTGAGGTTGGACGTTATTTATTTATACAAGTGAAGATGCGCTCCATAGCGATCAGCCCAGCAGTGACTACTAGTGCTGAGGCAATAACAGGAATCATTGTTTTGCTTTTTGCTCGTGGCGATTTCTTAAATATTATCGTATCTACCCCACCCATACATCCCGCCTAATTCATGCACTCGAGTCTGAAGTTGGCAGTAGGGCTGGTTTCATACCCCTTCATTTCAAATGTTCCGCTCTGTTGTATTATGTAACAGCATTTTCTTCCACACTAACGAGAAAGCCGCAGGCTCAGTGACAATCTGTGCCGGTCATATATGGATGTTTCTGGAACATATAAAAGTAATAGCGGTAGGGATTTCCATGAATCCCATACAAACCGCCCGCTAATTCATTAGCGTCCGCACGCCTGGCGTGCTCAAAGGACGTGCCAGGGGGATTTGCTTCGTGCCTTATATTTAGATACTATAGCCGGCTGTCCTCGCCGACCATTTAAAACAAAGTCATTAGCGTTTAGCACCGTTTGACCCCTGACCCCATCTGGAGGTGGTGGCCATTCCGTCGGCGCCGCACCCATTGGCCCACATTCGACCGCTGGGCATGAGTTACATCATACCGCTAATGTGGCCGCGGAGCGAGGTGCGTGGCCGGCCGTTCTGTATGGTCAGCCGGCGGCCGGCCCGGCCCTCCGACCGTGTACGTTTGGCGGCTTCACGAGCGGGCCACAGCTCGACCCGTAATGATCCGGTCCGGTGACCCCACCGCCGGGTCACGGGACGTGCGGACTAGTTACACACGCGCCGGTGAGCTGTTCGCCAGGCGTGGTCTCAGAGGCGGTGAGGCCAGGTGGAGTCGTGCGTGGTTTGCGGGATTGCAGAGGGAGATATAGGGCCTGTTCCAGCGCCTCCAGTAGAAATTCTTGACTGGAGGCTCTACCAGAGGTTTCACTGGAGGCGCTGGAACGCAATCTGGAGATTTCTGGAGATTGGCATCACAGATACCAAAAGAATGTCGATTGTTCTCTCTTGAAATGCAAAATTTGTTTTCAATTTTATTAAGAAAGATTAACAAAATTATAGCAATGTAATTTTCTTTACATTCAAGTTGTAAAATAATCAGTCAAAAGTCCTTTGTTTACATTCGTGATTGTCATATGTGCGCCATAATTGTAGACCAGAGCCTCCAGAGAAATTTGGACCTCCCAACTCTCTGGAGGCTACTGGAGGTTTCTGGAGCTTTGGCGAGAGCTTTCTGGAGCTTTCTGGAGGCGCTGGAACGCTCTCTGGAGGATTCTAGAGCTTTCTGGAGCTTTCTGGAGGTTTCTGGAGGCGCTGGAACAGACCCATAGGCTGCTGTCCACCGGCCACCGCCGTCTACTGTATGCAATATCACTATCATATACTGTCATACCACCGCTCTCATCTACTCTTCAGTCATCTTCTGCCATCCATTGTCGTCACCGACCATCCGCCCAAGTCCAACGTCGTCCACTATCATTCCACCATCGTCCACCGTGTCATTCCACGGCCGTCCACCGTCGTCCACCCCAGCTGCGGGTCGGTGGACCCCTTGCCATGACCCGCGGCTATTCTCGTGCCGGCGGCAGATGATCTGTTCTGATGTCGGGATCAGAGGCGCCGCCGACAGCACCGGCCACCATTCGTCTGCCCGGCGGGCGGCCGGCGGACCGGTCTGGCAGTGTCGCCCCCGCCCCCGCCCTCGCCCCGCGGGCGGCTGTCAGAGGCCACAGGTGCGGGCTGTCCCCTCCGGGAGGCCAGCCAGACAGCCTGACCGGCGTCCCGCTGACAGGTCACGACGAGACAGGTCACGACGTGGTTGACAGCTCTGAGCTCGAAATGTGCCCTAATAAGCAATGCTGAAGTGCAATGAATGTTAGAGGATTTAAATCGGATAAGAAAGTCTCTAACTTTTTGTGAATTAAATCCATCCACAAGTTTGGATCAGTTTTGCTATAGTTAGCTCCCTTGCTAGTTATTATTGAATTTATTCGACATCATTGCAGCGTAAGTCCATCAGTCGACCAGCCCTGGCAATGCAGCCCATCAGCCGTGCATGTGTCATCACCCTGCAGGCTGACGAGCATCTCTCGGCGGCGACAGGTCACATGATCCAACCGTGCCTCATCGATTTGTCCCGTGTGGGTGTGGGTGCGTGCGCGGACCTCCGCCGGCGCCGGGCCCACTGTCTGACTGACGAGCGTCGGTCGGCCCGACGGCCAGTCTGTATCGACACAGCAGCACGCGATGTCGGCCGCCCCCGCCCCCGCCCCCGCCCCCGCCCCCGCCCCCGCCCCCGCCCCCGCCCCCGCCCCCGCCCCCGCCCAGATCATCTGCCGCCCTCGGACATAATCCACCGTCCGCCCGCCGAGAGCTGAGCGACTGAAATCGGGCTCAAACGAGCGCTAGTGAAACATATGTGGCGGTAAGAATCTCCTATCGACCAGGCGTGACGATATAGTATATGTAACTCTTTTGTTCGTCAAAGAGCAAAAATATGTCACCGATGGGCCGTCAGCAAATCATTATATCACGTCATAACCACACCGACAGACAGACGCAGTTGCTGCGGCGGGATATGCGTTTCCGCCAGCGTAGCCGCAGGCAAATCGATCGTGACACGCTACGACTGGAGCAGTGGACCGTGGTCTGTTGCCGCCTCCGGTGGGATGAGGACCTCTGGCCGGTCACCTGATAGTCCAGCTGGGGCAGGACACCACTGATCCCCTCTGATGACACGTCATCCGACACTACCGCCTTATCAGCGGCGCAGCCCACCTGCATTGATGGACGCTGCGCCTCCGGGCTCCTGGCTCGTTTGAGACAATGATATGGGCTCTGTCCAGTCCATATAACTAGACGATGGATTATTACCGCGACGGGAGGACAGACTGGGATACAGACTGACTGCATCGGTGACTGATGGACTGACAGACTGACGCGCTGTAGGATTCGATGACTACTAACGGACTGATGGACTGACTGACGGACTCGAGTAAGGGGGACGGAGGTAGGGAATGTCTGTCTGTCTGTAGCCAACCGCCGGACTCCCTATTGATGTTACCCTCACCGGTAGCGTGACAGCCACCGCTGCCCAAATCAAGGTTTTATTTCCAGATTAAGATGTAAATTAGTTTTGTGGTCTAACGTGGCTCTCGGCCACCAGTAGTCCAAACAAAGCTGTATGACAGCGGCGGTCGGCGGCAGCCGGTGGCAGCTCCGATTTCTTTCTGTGTGTGTTGTGAAATTATGCATGAATTAGCGTCGGCCAGTGGTCGGCAGATGGACATCAGGCCAGGTCTAGCTGTCGGAGCCAGTTGGAGTGATGTCTGTCGAGACTGTGGAAGAGGCTTTGATGTGCGCCGGGGGAGGGAGCCCAGAGGGTGGGCCGGGAGGCGGCAGATGGGGTGGACGGGACGGCGGCAGACGCCGGAGCCACCGGGAGCGGTCGGGGCGCTCACGCTGACCCAGTTGGTGTGGGAGAGGTGGGAGTCTGTGGTTCAGCCTTCACCCCCGAGACCGCCTCGCTGCGGACTGGCTGGTGAATGGCATTACTGAACCACAGGCACCGGCCACCGACGGTGGAGGCATTTTACAAACTACGGACGGCGGCTAGTCGATAGTTTCTGTTGACATATACATTAGCCAGTGGACAATCATAGCAAAAACGTGAAGCTGGTACGCGAAATGTCACCCAACTTTAAAAAAGATCCCAGAGCATATTTTTCGTGCTGGAAGGGAACAGAATAATCAGCTTTTCGCTATAATAAATAAGTGGCGCGCAGTATGTACAAAAAAGTGATTTCTCGTAGCATGTGGCTGTAATGAGTTCTGAGGTCAAATGAGTACCACGAATGCCCATGATATCCAAATTCCCTATTTCCAAATAGCTGACGCCCCTGTCCCTATCTCTCTGCAGCGCCGGAGCCGGCCAGTAACACGCAGACGTGCGGGATCTGCCAGCGGCACTTCCAGCTGTCCGACGTCATCCGGTTCGTGCAGCAGCGGGTGTTGGCCGGCTCTCCAGCCGTCACCGAACCCCTGGCGGCCAGTCCCCCGCCCGACCGGCCTGCCGACCAGCTCAACGGGCGCCGGCGGCCCAGCGGGGGCGCACGACGCCTGCTGACATCTGTTGGCGACCGCGAGAAACTGCAGTTGAACGGCCTGTCGCCGACGCCGTCCGTCTCCAGTTTGTCCTCGAGGGAAGAGGAGAGCAGGAGAGAGCGGGAGGAGGAGAGCAGGAGAGAGAGGGAGGAGGAGGTGCAGAGGCGTCTGGTCGACGCTGGAGCCAACACCACCGACTCCGGTAAGTACAACGAAGGCAGCCCTCGGCAACTCGAATGGTGTTTGAGGATTCTCCGATGTAAACGCTCAGGGTTATGGAAACTTCTCGGACGTATTGCATGATTTCTCTCCGGATGATTGCTCTTATATTGATGCATGCATTTTCGCTGTTTTTATTGTTGTTGAATAGTCCTTTTTTATTGTGAAAGTTGCATGCTTGTGTTGTTTTATCGAAGTCACTGGCTAAATTAAATTGTCTGAAGCTATGTTTAGTAGTCTTGAAACGACAGTAGAGCATTCCCTACCAAATTTAATTTACATCTCCTTCGTAGTGTTGCTACATGAAGCAGCCAACGACTGGGTGACAAAATGGGTCAGTCGGGGGCCATCCGTGGCGACAGGGCTCCCCGCCGCGTCCCGAATTGTCTCCCGTTCTGTGTGCGCTCACCGTGAGCAGTCCCCGTGAAGCGCCGCCGCGGAACGGCGCCAATTTTACAGCGCAAACACAATGCCCCTCACGGCTGGTAGGCTGGTGCCGCGCTCAGGTCCCGTGACCGGACCGTGACAGGATGAATTCAGCGGCTTGGACGGCGGTGACGCGGGCCGCCCGTCCGCCCAGACGGCCTTTCTCCGGCCTGAGGAGGCTTACATATACATATGCTCATAGCCGTAGTGTCGTGCGTACTACTGAGCGCGTCCTGGCGGGAGAGATGGGCTATTTTGCTGGTTTCTAGTCGGCGTAGTTTATTGCAATAAATTTTTTCCTGGTCTAGTGAACTCCACTTTTTTATTCGAAATCTAATTTCGATTCCCCATGAGAATTTCCACAACATACAAGTCCCACCCACCGTCACACATTTTCCACCGCACGGACGATTTTTTACCCTTAGCTACTCGTCACCAGTGTCACTACCTCTAGCTGGTCAGTAGCAGGCGTCAGCGAGCGTCACGGCGGGTTGTCTCTGGGTGTCTCTGGGTGTTTTTGGACATCACTGAGTGTCGCTAATGGGTGCGGTTCCGGAGATAGCCGCTGTCGGACCTCCCCCCCCCCCCTCCCCCCCCCCTCCGGACAACCCTCCGGACACCCCCGTCGGCATCACGGCAGCTAATGGTTGGCTTCCGCTGGGCGGCCGCCGCTGAGAATGGCTACTGTCTCCAGCCCTCTCCCTCTCCCTTCCCCTCTCTCATCTATCTGTCCACTCGCTTCTCTGATGTTGTCTTCCTCACACAGTTTCCTCTGACGTCTTCCCACCCAATCCTCTCCCGTGTCCATGGCCGTCTCCTTATCCCTCTCCCTTTCTCTCTCTCTCTCTCTCTCTCTCTCTCTCTCTCTCTCTCTCTCTCTCTCTCTCTCTCTCTCTCTCTCTCTCTCTCTCTCTCTCTCTCTCTCTCTCTCTCTCTCTCTCTCTCTCTAACTCTCTCTTTCTCTCTCTCTCTCTCTATCCCTCTCTCCCTCTCTGCCTCTCTCCCTCTCTCTCTCTCTTCTCTCTCCCCCCTCTCTCTCTCTCTCTTCTCTCTTCCATCCCTTCCCATCTTCTTCACTGTCCCTCCCTGTTCCTTTCCCGTGCTCTCCAGTCTCGATGTCCACCGTTTCGTTTCGCCGTAGGTCTTCTGACCTGATTTGGTTGCTGGCTGCCTAGTAACAGATCATTCTGATGGAGACGAATCGGATCTGATAATCTGCGGTTTGACGATCATTAGGTAATTCCTACGAGTTGCGTTAGACGACAAATTTGGACCTGGGGTCTCTGCGTCCAGTGAGTCCTAGCTTAACCCTTAACCCTCGCCCGCACATGGGGGGTTGCCACCCCCCCAGGCAGTCTTTCTGCTCTGCACTCAACATTTTTAGAGCTAGAAGGCTGATTTTTCGTATAGCTGCTCGTCTATCCTTTCTTGATGTCCACTGAAAATTTCAAGTTTCTGTGATTTTTGGTTTCGGAGATATGACCTTGTTTTTCAGGTCATGTCATGACCCAAATGGCCAATTCTCAACATCTTGCGTTTGCCATGGGCCTTGTGAGCTTTTGACACCCTGATTTCGGCCTTTTTTGCCAGTCTCACCTCCCACCTATCATGGAACATGTTGTTCGACGATGTACAGGGGTCAAAGTCAGGGTCAAGGTCAACCTAGGTCATCTAAGATAATTGCGTTTTAGGCAAGCTGAATTTACTTTTTGTGAAGTTTTTTGACTGCATTTTTGGTAAAAGCTTCTTAGATCATGATTTCATGTGATATGGACCCAAAAAAAATCGGTGCACACATCAGTATACACACAGACACACACAGACATACAAACACATATATTTGACCTTGACCTAACTTGACCTGAAATGACCTCAGCAGCAAAATTCTGGTCGGATAGTGTGACAAAGAGGTTCTAGCTGGCTTGGCACCAGAAAACAGCATCGTCATTGGTATTTGATAAGCAGCGCACTTGATATCCAACGGTGACCCAAAACAGCAACATTTTTTAGTTTGACCTGACCTGGAAGGTCAATGACTGACCTGAGAAGGTAAAACTGGGTGTCATTGGATTCGTCTCTTCCCAAAGAATCTTTTTGGTCTTTACTGCTAAGCTCTATCTCCAACAGGAACGAAATGGCGCGGGGGGGTGGCAACCCCCCCCCCCCATGTGCGTTCTAGGATGGGAAAATGGCATGTGCGGGCGAGGCTTAAACTTAGGGGCTACAACACTTTTAATGTGCTAAAGCCTTGAATATAATACGTCGGACTGAAACATTCCCCGAACGGCCAGCGGGGGTCGGCGGGTTCCGAGCGCGCGGAAGGGAGAGTCAAGGTCTGTCGGCCGCCGGTGCCGATCAGCTGGGCATATCGGCCAGCCCGGCCCGTGATTGATGACCCCGTGTGACCCTGGGTGACCAGCGCGGCCGCCATACATCACACGACCGCCAGCGGCTAATGATTTTATGAACCTGCGCCGCGCGGCTATCGTTCCGCTGCAGCACGCTTATGGAAATACGGTCGTGACAAGGAGAGAAACGCGAGCCCGCACGCCGAGACGCCATCACCGACAATTCATTAGAATCCCACGCAGTCGACTGTTACGCCAAGCTGGAGGTCGTGTTATGCAAGTGGCGATGAATATGAACGGGGCGCTAGCCATGAGGTCCGACGGAAAACGTTTCCTACTCGACGCTCCTTCCCGAGACGGATTTCTCACGTCGGTTCATGGTTTGGGGATGACGGGGGTCCTGGAATATACATGAGCAAATGGAATGCTGTTTCCGTTTATTTTGTTATGTATGTCTACTGGCCAACGACTCAGGTTTCGCCCTGCTCTCGTAGTGCTGTGCTGAATGGTCTCGCTCGCCAAGGGCCGTGCGGCAGAGCAGCCGCCTGAAAGGATTGGGATATACTGTGCCGCAGTGCACGCTGGATAGTTGCCGACTCCTCCCCCAGATGGCAACACTAGCTGGCTCGGAGTGGAGACTGGCCTCTGTGCCCAGTCCCACGCAGTAGCGGCGGAACACCTTCAATTAAGGGGGGAGGGGGGGGGGCACTGCCGACTTTTGGTCCCATTCTTTCCATGCAACGCCCATAGGGCTAATGTTAAAATGGCAAAGTCAAAGGGAGGCACGGTGCCCCGGTGCCCTCCCCGTTCCGCCCCATATGTGCCCAGGCCGATACGTTCGCGGAATAAAGGTTTCTCAAGTGGTCTGGCACCTGAATTCATTCTCCTGACTTTGCTTACCCAATTTCGCATTTGTTGTGTCAGATTAAATGATTTTCCTGTGATCACCGTGAATTTTTTTCGAATACGGAGATCCGGCTTCTCTTCAGACGTTTAAGCAATTAACGGCCATCGCTTCTGACCAGCGCTGTTTTTGGTAATTATTCTGTCATAATTACCTCGGCGGCAACCCTTTTTAATTTGAGGAGAGCTGCCCCCATGTTCGTCATTTATCACTCAGACTGAATGCGTAATAGGCCCTACTCCAAATTAGACGGTACGGTTTCTGGTTTCTTCCGATTCATTATTTACGTATACAAGCAGTTGGCTAACTTGGCCGTCGTAGCCAAACGTCAGCAATTAATGACAATACCAATTTCCGCATTCCATTTAAATACAACTGCAAAACACATAGCCAGTTCATCATTATCATCTTCTTTCGGCGGATTATCTTACCCATGTTCTGATGTACAATCAGCTCCAAACAGAGGACTCACACCACCGCCACCGGCGAAATCCGCCCCAACACCAGCTGCGTCGCCGGACGGAGTGGTGTGTCACCAGTCGGAGCACCATTGGTGATGCTGGAGGCGTGTCCCCGGCTGTGCCACCCTCGGCCCCGTGGCGGCGGCGGCGGCGGCGGCGGCGGCGGTGGCGGCGGCGGCGCACACTGGTCCATTTGCATGCTGGCGCCGTTAGTGACGGCCGGTGACGGGGCCGTCCGGCGCGCCCCCATACGGTCCACCTGGGGCGGCCCACATGCAAATCGCGTCGTTGGCAACACTTGTGCGCCAACGACGACCGAGGTGGTGGCGATGACGAACCCTTCCGGCCGCACTTGTGGCCTCCCGAGGGGAGAGATAAGGGGCGAGAGACGAGCCGGCGCTGCGAAATGAGCACCGGCGGCCGAAAAAAAAGCGCTGGGAATTCACAATAACGCAGATTGAGACAAAGGGTGATGTGGGAGCGGAGTAACAGACAAAACAGCGGTGGGGTTGAACGCGCATTTGCTGTTGAAATGATCGCTGGGGAAGTAGTCCCCGGCGCCCCTTTCCTCCCCTGTCGAATCACTCAGTGCCGACAGAACGCCTGAGCTCCTTGCTGACAGCTAGTTAAGCCCAGCTCGGACTCTGATTCCCTCTGTCCGTCTCGTCCCACGGTTTTCGGTCCTCTCCGGTCGGCCGGCGTGGTCCGCCGGTCCGGTGACCTCTCTGGACGTCGGGTCAGCCGCGCCGCAGGCACCCATGGCTAACCCGGCCAGTGGTCGCGCCTGTCCATAATTTCCGAATAGGACGCGTCCATTTGACGTCTAAAAAATGGCGCGTAATGA